ATTAATCTTGTTATCATTATCATTATTTTATTATAGGCATTATTGCGATCATTATAATCATTGTTATCATCGAAATTCTTATAATTATCATCACTATCATTATTATTATTATCCTTATTATTATCATTATTGCTGTTATTTTTCTTATGAAATCATCTTCATTATCATAATATTTATTTATTGCTTCAAATATTAAAATACTATTTGCTATTTTTTGTTGGAACTTTAATTTTTTTTTTTCTCATTACCTTCACTATTTATCATAATTATTGTTGTTACTATTATCACTGATTTTGTTATTATCATTATCATTTTTTTGTAATTATCATTATCGTAATCATCATTGTCATCATTAGCCTTATTGTCATCATTATCATAATCATCATTTTCATTTTCATCATAATCATCATCTGTCATCTCAGCTACGACACTTTAACTCATTTGCTTGCTTACCTTCGAGCGAAGGGAAGCCATGGGCTTACCAAGCGAAGTCATGAGACGGAATGGCGAAGGGCTGACGTCACTGGCTTACCTGACAGCGGGATGACGTCGGGGTTCTTCTCGTCGAAGTCCCTGGGCGGCGCGGGGGGCGGGGGGATGTCCTTGCCCGCCAGCTCGCCGGCGCTGGACTGCGAGGAGCCCTCGCTCGCTCCCGCCTCCTCCCGCTTACCCCCGCCCCCCTCGCGGCGCGCCGCCCGCATCCGCACCAACGCGCACACCAGCACCGCCACTAGCACGAGGCCGCCCGCGACGCCCACCGCCATGGCGATGATGTCGCCCACGCGCATCCGGACGGCGAACTTGACGGTGGCGGGGGGAGGCTTGACGGCGGCTGGGGGGGGGGGTAGAATTGGGAAAGAGGGGGAAGAAAACAATAATGAAATAAATGAAGACAAAATTTATCAACAAGATACACAGGTAATGACATTAACATGAAAAATAGTAACTATAACAGTGTTTTTATAATACGTGTAATTATGGTGAGTATAATAATACCGACTGATGATAAACCGGTTTTACTTCACAGATTCCCTCACAGCGACCTTGAGGGGAGACCCGTGCCCGAGGCGGTGCCTCTCCTCTTGGTCTCAGACCCTTGGGCCGGAGTTGGACTCGCACAAAGGGCGATCGACCCTCATGGCCGGGCGTGCTTCCGCTACGCCACGACGGCCGCAAATGAGGATAATGATAAAAATGATAATGATAATAATGATAGCAGTAGTAATACTAATGATAACAGAAACAACAATGATAATAAAAAATAAGAGCAATAATAATAACAAAAACAACAATAAAATAATTATAATAGTAACGATAATGATGATGATGATGATGATGATGATGATAATAATAATAATAATAATAATAATAATAATAATAATAATAATAATAGCATCAAAAACAATATGACTGCAATTACTACTAATTATAATAATAATGATAACACAAATAATGATAATAGTAATTATTTTTATAATTATTATCATTATTACTATTATAACAATAATAGTAATAATGATCAAATAAGATATTGATAATAATATTAATGATAATGATATTAATTTCGGGTTCGGTGTGACAGGCTCTTATGACTTCGGTCAAATTATGACTTTATTAAACTTCTAAACCAGCCCTTGCGGACAAGGAATGGCCGGAATCACCATCCACTGGCGATGCGGGATTTAGAGGATGATAGTGATGATTGAACTTAGTTAAATTTGAGAATCATTCAGTAAAAAGAAATTGTTAACCTCGAAAAATGCTTTGAGCCGACATTGACTTTCATATATCAATAATATATATATATATATATATATATATATATATATATATATATATATATATATATATATATATATATATATATATATATATATATATATATATCGGGCGCGCGCGCGCGCGTGTATGTATGTGTCCCATTTCCCTCTATTCATTCCGGGACTGACCTGTGCGCTTCTCGGCGATATCCTTGAGGGTGTACAGCTTGACGGTGACCATCTCGCCGCGCCCTTTGGCATTGCTGGAGTAGACCACGCCCGTGAGCGACATCCCCGGCGGGAGGTCCTCGACAGTGAAGCTCGGGATCTGCCGGGTGGGCACGCGTAACACACACGTGCATGCACGCACACTCACAGAAATCTCCTTGCTACACCAAACCTTCTTTCAACAATCCACACTCTCCACTGTCGGTCACGAAATCCCCCAACCAGCCCCCCACCCCCGCCCTATCCAACCAACGAAATTTACGCCTCCACCAACCCTTGTCAGAACTCACTCCTTCCTTTCCCCAGCTAGACCACAAAACAGAGAACCCTCCCCCTCCCAGTCCCAGACACCCAAGCCGAGAATTGGCTCCTTCCCTCCCCAACCAGAAAACCACCTCCTCCACTCTTCCCCAATCAGACCCCTCCCCCCTCGCCCTTCCCCAACCAGAAAACTCCCTCCCCTTCCTACCCCAATCAGGGAAGCCCTTTCCTCACCCTACCCCAACCTTCTA